GATGTACAGCCATGCACTGCACACTGTATTACAATAGAAAATGTAGAGCCATGCCCTGCACACTGGATTTAATCCCTGGGCCACTGGTTAAATCTTGATTTAACCTGCTCAGGTGATTGGCACTTAGCTTTGCAGGATCTTTAAACTTTATGCCATTGTGGTCTTTCAGATCATGAAGAGTTTTATTAGAACTAAAGAATGGCAGTGGATATTATTTTTTGGAAGTGTTTCTGGGTATTTTTTCTATGTGAAACTTCTTGAACCATGATGTCACTTTTGTTCTCTCTGCTTGACCCCAGGGGTGGAACATTGAGTACAAGTGGGTGACAGGCAGATTTAGGCAGAAGAATGATTAGATAAGTAGTAGGAGCAGCAAGAGTGAGTAGTGTCATGGAAACCGAGAGAAGAGAGACTGGTCAGCAGCGCCAAATGTGGTAAAAATGCACTACCACTTCATCTCCACTCGTAGAATCTCTCTCTTAAAGACACAGCTCAAATATCATATTCTACAGAAAGCCTTTTCTGATTGCCCTAATTATCAATGTCCTTATTCCCTAATTACTTTTTAACTCTATTTTATTTATTTATTCTGTGTGTGTTTTTATATGTACATATTGTCTCCCCTAATTGAATATAAACAGTAGAGATTTCTTCATTCTCTCTGATCATATCCTCACTAGCTAGCATAGTGTCTAATACATAGTAGGAGATTAATACATACATATATATATATATATAAATGTATATATATGTATATGTTATTGATTATCCTCTAACACATGGATACAAGTGCCATAAGGGGACACTTTCCTTCCTATTTTGAAAAGGGGGGAGTTGTCAGTTCTCACTAGTGTAAATCAAATTCATTTTGATATTCTGAAACTTTAGCGATATGGTTCTGGAAAAATCATGTCCTTGGGAAAGTGTACATATGAAAAATGTGTCATCCAAGACACCTAGGGAAATGGATAGAGTTAATACCTGAAGCAATCAGGAAATAATTATTCAATGGGTTCAAGAATCATCTGCCATTTCTGAAAATTTTCTATTAAGTGGAGGTGTCCTTTAGATAGAGCTTAATGGAATAACCAGTTGACACAGACTTTGAAATAGGAAACAAGATGTCTAGTACCTCTTGCAGGGGGAACCATGGAAGAGATTATCTTCAGGAAATGGTGATGAGAACCACTGAGGCTGAGACTCACTGGCTATATACCTTCCAGGAGATTATGGAGTTAGATGCTGTTTTAAAACAGAGGTGGAAAAGAAGGCATATTTGAAAGGGTCAGCTTTAACAGCTAGCTAATGACATCTACTTTAGGCAAACCACCTGGGAGGAAGAAATAGGTCAAGGGCAGGATAACCGGAATTATTAAGAGTTTCATTGAGGTTAAGACACGTGGCTTCAAAGATCAGATAAGGATGTGCTCATGAGAACATCTTTAGCAGACAACTAGAAACATGTCTTTCTGACCCAGAGAGTCAAGATACAGGGTAACATTTCCCAGAGCCCAGCACAATTGACAACTTCAGTTTGGGCAAGTGGAGTGGTGGTACGGTCTTTTCTTGATAGCCTAGGGTGAATCGAAGGCATCTTTGAGGGGAGGTAAATTAGAAAAGCACCTTTTCCTGGATACAGAAAACATATGGAGATAAAGTTTCAAAAGATTTTGAATCCCAAAGCAGTCTTGAGCCAGGCAAAATCTAACTTGGAAAGAAATCTTTCAACTTCAATGAGTATCCAAACATTTAAAGGATCATGGCTGGATAACTGAGGAGAAAAGAGATGAGATTAGTCAAGGCTAAAAAATATCAAAGCCTATCTCCATTTTATAAGCAGTAATAGGATCACAGAGTTAAAACCTGGAAATAACTTTAGAGAACATTTATTTCAGTTTCTTTATTTTACATATGAGAATACTGAAGACCAAACTGGAAAAATGACTTTTCCACAGTCATGTAGAGTCTGGGTTTGGCAGGCCCAAGATCACACAGGTAGTAAATGGTATACCCTCTGACCACATATCCAGTGCTCTCTTTACTGCCCTACACTGTTAACACTGTTCTGTTTGTTAATATTTAAGTAATCTACTAAAAATAGTATTGTTCTAAAATATTCTAAAACTTCTACAACATTTAAAATATCAACTTGCTATGTACTACTTTATTCAGGTTATAAGAAAGCAAATTGTAAAAATGTATAATTTCTAATAAATTTCATAGGATATATTAGGATAAGTTTTAGTTAGAGAAACATAGACTAAGCCTAGCACGATTCTGCTAGAATTAGATTGTAATTGAAACAGCAGGGGGTGGTGGGAGAACAGGCCTTTCTTTGAATTATATGTTGTGAGATCCAATACAGAACTTTTGTGATGAAACACATTCTCTGGCTGGAGCAAATTGTATTTTATGGGATCCAAGTGGTATTTGTGAGATTTCAGGGTTATTTATCTTCTGCGCCTTATAGTTCACTTTGCCAGGAGCAGTTCTTTGATGAGCATTGTATAGATTCTTTTGGACCTGGGAATCCAAATGTAAAGGATAGGGCAAGGTTTATGCTTGGAAAATTTTGCTCATATGGTACCTAACACATTTAAACAGTCAACAACCTGGATGTGGGTTTTTTCTGGTTGTTGTTGGTGGTGGTCAATATGATGATGATACTTAGGGCCTGACTACAGAGTACCTTGGTGTACCTGCAGAGCCCACAGGATTTCTTTGAAATGATCACTTGAATGATTTTCTTGAAATTATGAAAATTAAATGAGATAACACATGTAAAAACATCTTGCTAACATCAAAGTGCTATATAAATACTAGTTACTGTTATTGTTATTGTTATTTTGATCTTTTACACTCTTCATTCTCTATGGCACCATGAAGTTTACTACATCATTCATACACCTCAAAGGCATAGACTGAAATCTTTGTTTGAAAAGTTATTTCTATTTATTGCTTCCAATTCAAACATAGCATCACCATGAAATACCGCTATGAGTTGATGCAGCCCATTTTAATGCTGCCAGATACATTAGCTTTCATAGCTGCAAAGACATAGTGGAAAAAACAAATAAACAAGCAAACAAATCAAAACGTGTGTTGACCATGGTCTCTGAAGACATAGATCTTGGATGAGTGGTCGTTTCTTCTCCAAACATGTTTCATCATTTACAGATAAAATCTCAATAGACTAAAGAAGAGAGGAAACTCAATGGAGAAATGCATAGGAACTGGGCTCAGGCAGTGTCTGTGCAACAGAAAGTATGAGTTCACATCAATTTAAAAATTAAACTTTTAATAAGCATTTAATAAATGCTTCCTGCATGTCAGGCAATGTACTAGGCAATGGAGAGTCAGAGACAAAAAACAAAGTAACCAAGAAACCAATCAACAAGCTATTAAGAGATTATGTGACCGGCATTGTGCTAGCTACTGGGTATTCAAGGGCAATCATGAAGCAGTCCCTTCCTTTAGTGACCTTACATTCAATTGGAGGAGACAACATTTAATTATTAAAATAGACATAGTGATAAGGACTAGACCTATTATTTCATTAGTATAGGGAAATGAAACTTCTTTATTTCTTTGTTACAAATACAGGCTGGTGCCTTCTTTGCAACTTAGTATCTTGAGTTGCCTCAGTCACTAAAAGCGAAAGAGGGCTAGCCAGGGTCACACAGTATATGTTCAACTTGAATCCAGTTCTTCGTGGCTCTAAAGTCGCTCCCTAAACAGAAATGCCTCCCTGCCCCTTGTACATTTATGGGTATCTCTCTGTCTCTGTCTCTGTCTCTGTCCCTGTTTCTCTGATGACTCTCTGCCCTTTGTACATGAATGGATATCTCTATCTACGTGTGTGTGTGTGTGTGTGTGTGTGTGTGTGTGTGATAAAGAAAAATCTTAGGAGGAAGTACAATAGAGCTGGGGGATCAAGCAAGCCTTCATTGATAAAACACTCCCTGCTCACTTGCTCACTGGAGAGTTTATTTTCTCCTAGAGGGAAGTGAGATAACATGTAAACAAGTATAAGTAAATATAAAGTAATTTGAGGGCATGGAGAGCACCAGTGACTTGGGGGGGAAGGGGAACACGTAGGAGTCAACACTTGAGCTGACAATGAAGAGTGCTATGGAATTGATAAGCTGAAGGTAAAGAGGAATAGCATTTCAATTAGAAACCATGGCTGAGTGTTTCCTAGTTAAGGGTTCTCATAGATAAGTATTGCTACTTGGGCCTCAAGATTTACTGTGTCTTTGGTTCATATCATCCTTGTAAGTATTTACTCTGGGAAACCTTTTGCATCATTGAGGAGCATCATAAATTTGGGAAATGAATAAAATGTAAGTAAAGCTCTTACAATGAGCACCTTCCATTCTGTTTGGTATTTAAGCCTCTTTAAACAAGATCCAAAAAGAACATGCTGCTTTGTAGTGGAACCCCAAAGGTGACTCTTGAAAGAACTACAAAATTAGGAAGAGTCAAAAATAAATGAAAGAGAGATATCTAAAAGGAAGCAAATGAGAAACTTGTAGATAAATGAAACCAGCCTCAGACTATTGAGTTTAAATAATTTTCCTCCTTTATCAATTTACAGCACTTTGTATGTGATATATATGTGTGTGTATGTGTATGTGTGTGTGTGGGGAACAAGTGAAAGTTTCTCATATGAAATGAAAGCTATGCCTCCAAAATTTAGTTAAGGCTTTAGCATTAGCTGGGCCTAAGTTTCGTTTTCCTGTAAATCATATAATAGGGTCATACACCAGCTGCCCACCCCCTCCCTTGTTTTGTAACCATCACCCCAGCCTTATCCTTACCAAATAAGGCAATCTTCTAGCTTCCAAGCTTGGTTTGGGTAAAATGCGTCTCTTGGGTTCTAAATATAGATGGTAAGGTCTCTTGCCTCAACCAATGAGGATAAAGAGATTGAGGTAAACAAGTGGGGAGGGGAGTTTCTTGGAGTGGTTTGTCTAAGGGTATATAACTGGTTGCTCGCTGTTGTGTCTTGCCTCACTACTCCAGTCCACCCTGGGTAGGTGGTCTCAATCCCACTCAGTTGTGGGCTCATCTGGGATTTTCTTTGATTAGGGAGGGGGCTTCTTTGCCAAGGTCAAGACCAAGAGCACATCCAAGATTTCTCGGAAGTCTTGAGCTCTGGAGGGAGGTTGCTGCCCAGTCTTTGAAATAAACCTGAAGAGAGTGACTCAGAGAAACAGAAGGCTTGTTAGGGCTCTGACAATTAAAACGAAACTAGGAAATTCCAGCCAGCCGGTGAGTGAGAGCAGTCACGTAAGTTGTACGTGTGCAACCCAGAGATAAGCACTCAGGGGTCTGGAGGTAATTGGCATAGGGTGAGGGCCCTTTTAGGGTGGACTCTAGTCTGAGCAGAGTCCAGGCTTAGTCAAATTGCTGAATAGATACCTCATCGAAAGAACACAGCTGAGAAAGCTTCATGGGTGACTGGTGAGGAGTGGGTGACCCTCCTCAGTGATTCGGCTGAGTCTGTCTTTAGATCGGGGAGTTTGGTGATGGCCCCTGTAAATTCCTAGTGAGGTCCTAGGGGTTCCCTAAGAATGGGAAAGGGACAATCTAAATCTGTGCAGAGTGCAAATGTGAGGTACCTATAGACAGTCTTTTAGGCAATCGATTGAAGAATTGGAATGAACTGCTAAGATATAGAGGAAAGGATAAAAGGAAAATGATTGGATATGATTTGATGCTTTGAAGATTCTATAGGGCAGAGGGTTGTTGTATGTCTATTTTCTTTTTTGTGTTTGTGTCTGTGCATGGTGTGAATGAGTGTTAACAATGTTTGATAGCAAAAGATTTGGCAAGAAAAGCATTCCATGGGGGCAGCTAGGTGGTGCAGCGGATAGAGCACCAGTCCTGGATTCAGGAGGACCTGAGTTCAAATGCGGCCTCAGACACATAACACTTACTAGCTGTGTGACCCTGGGCAAGTCACTTAACCCCATTGCCTAGCCAAAAAAAAAAAGAAAGAAAAAAAGAAAAGCATTCCGAGTGCTGCAGCTGGATTCTGGAGTGCAGCTTTCTTTCTCTCCCCTCTCACTCACTGATAACAGCAGCTTCAGAGGAGCGGGTGGATGGGAGAGAGAAAGAGAAAAATACTTTATTATTTAGGTTATATGACTGGTAAAAAGCAAGTTGAAAAGGATTTTTGAAGTGTCAGGTCAGAATTAGAAAGAAATAAGATATGTGCAATTTTAAAGGGACTTTAATCACAATCCATTAGAAAGAAAGGCAAGAAAGTTTAAGCATGTAGGAGAGAGGAGTATGTGTAGAAAGCTTAAGGTAGGTATAATTTATTTGCACAGTGTGAACAGAGGTTTTGAAAGCAAGAAGGTTTTGAAACTTTCAGAAGAAAAATAATAATTCCTCTCCCTCTCTGCATTCTAATTCTGGCCAAATGTGAGTGTGGAGACAAAGAGAGAAAAAGGGAACCTTTTCCCCTCAGATCAGAAAAAAGAGGTAGCACTTAATCTTTTCTGCCTCTCATGGAAGAGAGAAGTTTTTGTGTACCGGAACACAACCAAAGGTAATTTAACTCATTCTGGTAATATATCAGATGAAATGTGATGCTCTCAATTTAATGCTTAAGTCAGAATTTATTATACTGTTTGGCACTAAAGGAAATTGAAAGAAACTAAAGAGCAGTGGAAGAATAGTGTAAGAGGAGTAAATTGTTTAGAGAGCATAGTAAAGCTGTAAAAGCAGTTTGGGAAGAGAGAGGGGGAGGGAGAGCCCTATTCAATTATCTCCCTTCAGAAATGCAAAAAGAAAGCTGTGTAGTAGTCTTGCTGAGTGTAATTTGGGTGGGGGGTCTTAAGTTCCCCACCCTTGGATGAGGATATCCTCTGAATAGCTTTAGATAGTTTAAGTTAAGTTGAGAAGGTGTGAAGAAGTGGTATGTTTTAAAGTAGAAGGATGGAAAAATAAAATTCTTTTTTTTTTTTGCCTAATTTAAAAACCAATAGATAAAGTTATGGAGAGATGGAAGGAATTATGTCCACCCACCTTTCAGGCTAGATCCGTGGGTGGGTTCTATTAGATGTAATATGGATACTGGCTATGATAAAGATATTGGTTGTTGTGAGTTATGATTATTACTGTTCAATTAATTATTAAGCTCCAGAGGTGCCTACCTGGAGGGGAAGCACATTTTAAACTGACCTGATTACAACAGGTGATTCCAAACTGTTTGTAAAACTTTCACAAGAAAATGTGGACGTGAATGGGGAACTGAAATATTGAAGAAATATATGAATTTGTGGATAATATACCTTTATAAAGGGTCAAGGATATTGAACTTAGAAATGTGTATTGTGTAGAGGACCACAGGTAAGTAGGACTCTACCCCGACGGCTGTATAAGCCTTCTCAGGCGAGGAGCTTGCTCCTTGGCCTGGATCGGTTCTCCACTCCCCAGAAAGAAGGGCGGGTAGGCAAGCTCAGTCATACACAATGTTGCTAGCTTGAGAACAGCTAGCTCTAGCACAAATATGTATCAAGTATTACTAGTTCCTGTATCAAGTATTGGGACATTCTGGGAACAAGAAGTCCATGGTGTTTTCACGGAAACAGCCCGGGAGGACACAGAGAGGATGATGATGCAGAGAGATGTGCTTGTTGATACTTTGATTGGTATTTGCATGTTGCCTATTGGTAAAGACATGTAAACTTTGTTGCTTTGTCCGCTGTTACATTGGAGTATGTTCCCATGAGTCAAAGATATACAACCGCCTGCTGTGCTCTGATAAAGTTGACTCTGTTTTCCATCACGCTTGGAGTCCCATCTCTTTCGTATTTGCCTCGAAGTCTCCGGTCAAGAACCCTTTCAAAAACTCTTTCACAGACTTCGCTGCTGGTTGGCGGAGCTGCCCCAACTCGCATATTTGCATAATTTTAAGAGCATAAATTGTTATTTGGTATTAAGAACTTTATCAACTATGTGGCCCCAGGAGACTGTTGAATCTGGTAAAAGGGTCTAGAAAGAAAGCAAGATTTTTTTTTATTGAGCCTGTTTTCAATTGTATTAGTTATGTTGCTGGAAGGGCAATTTCTTTTATAATCTGTAATGTTAAATTAATTGTGTCTTCAGAGAAAAGAGAAAAAGGAGTGAATCTGGCTGTTGGGGCACTCTATATCATCCTGCTTTTTAACATTTCCTTCTAAGTATTGTAATTGTAGAAAGCATAAAATTTCCAAATGTTTTATTTAAAGAGAATTTTCAGTTGAGATTGTCTTGTTATCATCTATGAAATTTGTGAGATTTTTAACTAAATTGTTTGGGATTACTGCTTTAATGCTAAAACCCAAAAAGGGTTAATTGATTACTCTATCTGTGTGGGAAAGGTCATCTGCCCTGAGAAAAGAACTTGTTAGGATTATGCAGTTCCTAGACAATGAACTTAACTTGCTGAGAAGTTGCAAGTTTATGTACAGTAGATAGAAATGATTTCTAATGATTGGCTTTTACACCAGGGCAAGTTTAAATTTGAGAAGGAAAGATGTTAAGTGAGATTTCTTATGTATGACTCCTGGTAAATCTATACTGCTTATTGCAACTCCATGAGAGTGAATGTAACTGCATCTGGCTTTAAGCTGTGATTAGTGAGACTTGCTGTTTGAGGTAAAAGGCTCTTGGGACTCTAATGAATTTTGTTTTGAGTTTAAATTTGGGCATAGTTGTCTGCATTAAATCAGTATCTGAGAGAAATGCCACCAGAATAGGCGGAGGTCGATTTAGAGGAAACGTGATTCATTTGGGAAAAAGGCTGAGGGGATAATCTTAGCCTCAATCTAGGATGGGCTCCTTCTGGCTCAGTTTCCCCATTAAGTTCCTTTGGAAAGGAATGTTTCCCACCTGACTATTCCTGAGTTTGGCTATGAGGAGAAACAGATACTGCATGATTGGAGAATTGTGACTCTATCTGAATTTAAACAAAGCTAAGGATGTTTTATCCTGTCATATTTGATATGTCACCTGTCCCTGCTCCTTTTTCCTTCTATAGTAAGTTTCTATGATCAGAGCAAGTAGTCAGCATGAGACATGAGAAAAGGATTAGATTATGGTCATATCTTAAACTGATTGTTGGAACTTGCTGGGACTAGTGACTGACTGTTTCTGAGTCTAACTCCAGTTTGTCCTTAACTGAAACCTGGCAGACTTTAAGTCTGGCTCAATGCAGTTTGCAGTTTGACATAACACTCTGTCTGGAGTTGACAGGAAGTTGAGGGAAATGTTGTCCCCTTACTCTAATCTCTTAGTGGCTAGTTACTATGATCAGAAGGTTTTGTAAGTACAGTAACAAATTTACTAAAATAATTGATTACGGAACATCTTGGGTTATTATAGAACTAGGACTAGTGTTCCTGTATGAGTTAGGGTCTTTTTAATTCTTGGTAATGGTATGGAGACAATCAGGAGCTTATGAGAATGTTATTTTGTTATTTGGATAATATCACACTCGTCTAAAGTTTTGTTATCATTGATTAATAATGTCAAAAGAAGAATGGCTTGTGATTTATTTTGTAAATGCCATCAAAGAAACAAGGCATGACTAAAATTTTAAGATTTTATATGTACTATGTTAAAAATTGATATGTATGTACTGAAGCCTGTGATTAATCCCTTAGTGAAATCTCATCCCCCTGGTGAGGAAATTAATAATGGATTAATGTAAAGTATAAGACACTGGGTTCTGATGTGAATTTCTTGAACATGACAATTGGCCATGATTCCAATTTTGAGTTTGTAAAAATGATCAGGGTTATAAGGACTAGAAATAGTGATTTAAAATTGTGCTAAGATCACTTCTGTAGGAGAATGGATGGAAAGCTGGTTCCTACAAGAAGAAGAAGAATAGGAAGATGCTGAGATGCTGTGCTGGAGATGGCTGGAGAAAATACCAAGGGCAAGAGGACTTCATTGATGGTGTTCCCTGCCAGACAGCTATATAAGAAGGGACTTTTTGAATCTTAAAGGGACAATTGCATTATTGTTTTCTTTTGGGTCTCTGAATCTACATTTCTGAAGAGGCTGCCCCTTTGTTTTTCAATGCTTAGATTAATCCTTCCCCTATTTACTTAAAGGGGTGGTCCTGGTTTGGGGGAACTTGGTGGAAGCAGGTATTATGGTTTTTGTTAATAGCAATAAGTGGAGTTATACTAGTCCCAATGTGTGTCCCTTGCATGGTGCAATTAGTTACTACTACTGTTCAAAGGACCCTCTCTGGAATGATTACATTAAGA